CCTGATTTACCGGTCCTTGCTGCATCTGTTGTACTCCTTGCTGTGCAGCACCGGGCTGCATTAGCGGTGGCTGTGCCATGTTACTCACCGATGGTGAGCGTCCGATGGGTGGCGAACGAACCTAAAACATCGTGTGTAACAACTCTTTCTTCTCAACTGCTATTCCTGGACAAATATCAACAATCTTTCACACCCTCAAAACTGTCATCCTGTACAAATAATCCTTTTACCTCTTCATTTAGCTCCAGCCCCCCCCCCCTCCTTCCTCCCTTCCGCCCACTTTTTCCAATTCACGAGGATGCATTGTTATGCTGATTCCTGAAAATATAATTTTGTTTCATTTTTCTGGTACTTGTAAAGCTGCTGCTAACCTGATTAAACTGTGATTGCATTGCCGGACTAACAGGTTGTGAAGTCCTCTGGAACTGCTGCTGCCACTGGGGCTGCGGAGGTTGAGTCATCGGAGGAGCGCCACCCATCTGACCCTGAGAGCTCATCGACGCATACTGACCACCAGGACCACGCGGCTGTTGCTGCGCACCAGACTGCGATGTTTGCGGTTGTTGCTGCTGTTGCTGGTAGTACTGCTGTTGGGCCGGTTGCCACTGGCCACCCTGCTGACTGACCATCTGTAAAACCACATCAGTATCGTCTTTTTTTTGCAGCATTAACAAAATTTATCAAAAAAGGAAGTGAAGAATTTTCAAAATTTATCAAAAAAAAAAAAGAAAGTGAAGAATCCCTAAGCATCCATTATCCGTGACAGGCTGACGGGCAGCCCGGACAATAACCATCAAATGCCCAGCAATAACCACGTACTGACAAAATTTACTGGATTCTTCTTCCGAAGGTTGCTCAGAAGCAAACTTAAGGCTCTCTTCAAAAAATCCATGGGACCAGTGAACGCATAAAAGAGTTCCCATAAGAATACCTCCAGAAAAAGAAAGACATTTGAATATTTTAAAGAAAATTCAAACGATACTTACCTGTGGCTGCCTCAACATTCCTTGCTGTTGTTGTTGCTGTTGCTGCTGTTGTTGTTGTTGCATAAGCTGTTGCTGATTAAGGCCTTGCGGAATCTATAAAAAAATATACGAAATAACAAGGGCAATAAATAGCAGCGCGCACCAGAATAGCCAGCGCGATTATACGCTTTGTGCAATTCCATCTACCGAACGACTGCTCGTCAATGATTTTCACTGCTTTGTAATTTAGTGTGTGCAAAAATAGTTGAGATGCTGGAAAATAGTTAAAAATTTCACGGACTGGCATGTGAAAATTGAACTT